CTCAAATTCCTCAGTCAAAGGCATATTTGGGAGTATCGCTAAAGCCAAAAGTGTACAAGTCTGCACCGCCTTTAGAACAACAAAGATGGAAAGCGGCTGGAGCCACCTGTGAGGAAGATAGAATATGGCGATTGCCGGACGGAAGAATAGTGCTACCTAAAGTAGCCCTTAGACCTTATCTACAACTCCATCAAGGCAAACATTTAGGTCGCGAAAAACTTGCCGCTATCACTAATAGGCTGTGCTATGCACCCGGAGTTTACCAGGAAGCAAAAAGGCTTTTAGAGCACTGCAGTATATGCAAAAGGTTTAATATCAAAGGGGAAAAATCAGGACCCCCTGGAGCCTGCCCCTGGGCTTATACTCCCTTTGAAAAACTACAAATAGATTTTGCTGATATGCCTAAAGACAATGGGTACAAAAACCTCCTAGTAATTCGTTGACCAACTCACGGGGCAGGTAGAAGCCTTTCCCACCAGAAGAGTCACAGCGCAACAAGTAGTAAAAATACTCCTTAACGAAATTGTACCCAGGTTTGGTCCACCACGTACCACTGAAAGTGATCAAGGATCACTTTTTACAGCTGACAAATAGAACACTGGCCAGCTGCCTAGGAATAGAATGGAAATTCCATACCCCTTGGCACCCAGAAAGCTCAGGACAAGTAGAGAGAATGAATCAGACCCTAAAACAAAAAACTGGAAAACTTTGTGCTGGAAGTGGGTTAAAATGGACCAAGGCTCTTCCATTAACTCTTAAGTCCATCCGAACCACCCCCAGGGGAAAACTAAAGCTCAGCCCTTACGAGCTGTTGTTTGGACACCCTGTTCCCCAACATTCCCCCTTATTACCGGCTCACACCTCCTCTTTTAGGTGATGAAGAACTCACCTCTTATATTTTATCTCTACAGTCTCAGTTAAAATCTCTCCATAGGTATGCTGCTCTGAGCCAACCCTTACCTGCTGATGTTCCAGCACATTGCATCCAGCCTGGAGACTGGGTGTACGTAAAGACTTGGAAACAATCTCCCCTTGAACCTAGGTGGCAAGGACCATATCAAGTCCTCCTCACCTCCCACACTGCCGTAAAGGTAGCAGAAAAAGACAACTGGATTCATTATACTCGTACAAAGAAGAGAGAAGTTTCACCAGAGCTCAGGATCGGCTCCAACACAAGCTTCCCTGACCTGGAAAAGGGAAAGCCAGAAGAAGACGACAGCAGACTTCACGGGAGCACCGCATGCCTACCTGACCATGACAAGGGTAGGCCAGAAGCAGACAAAAATATAAAAATGAACACCTCCTGGACCTGCAGCCCATTAGATAATATAAAACTCAAACTAACCAAAATCAACTAATGAACTGTCACCCTTTTGGGATCTTGTCCAGTCCAAAGAACACCGAACTCCAAGTACAGCATCCTTTAGACACTTTCAGACCAGCCAGAACTGAACACTTTGGGACTGTAACGTGCCCCAAAAGAGCAGTTACTGGAGCTGCAGTGTTGCTCATACTGTTTGTGCTGATTTTTGTTATAAAAGCCATTTTATAACTATGTTATTTCTAATTTCTCTCTTTGCCGGGGGAATGGGTCCTTTACCGGGGTCGGCTATGGCTGCCAGTTGCTGCAGATGTGCTACTCCCGGATGTTATTTCTAATTTCTCTCTTTGCCGGGGGAATGGGTCCTTTACCGGGGTCGGCTATGGCTGCCAGTTGCTGCAGATGTGCTACTCCCGGCGCCCGCGGTTTCACTGCCTGGATAAGTGATTCAGTTGAACCCTCTGAAAAAGACGGTAAGATCAACGTTGCTCGCTGGTATCCTCCCTCACGCAGCAGAAGTCCGAGTATTTAGTTCTGGAGTAGAATATTGTGTAAAACCTAGCCACCTAATTTACAAACAGTTTGCAGAGTCTCCGCAGGCTAA